CGACGACAATTATCATATTTCATAGAATTTCAGATGAGTTTATTTTCGTCGAGCTCGATTATCAAAAAGAAATAAATTCTTTTTAAATCGATGATATATATTATCAAAGGTTTTTTCATTGTTTTTTTTCATAATAAATATAGAAAAAAAGAAAAATAAAGTATTCTAAGGGATCAATTTTTCTTGTTACTAGATCAGACTAAATATTTCACTGTTTTTAAATATTTATGAACAAGATTCTTTCAAAATAAAAATTTTCATTAATGAAAATTTGGAAACAATTTTTTTTTCAATTAAAATAAAACATATTCATTGATATGTATAATATTGTATTAAATAAATCAAATAATAAATTTTACTGTTAATTGATCTGTTGTATTCAATTGAAATACTTTTCTTGATACATTTGTTTTATTTGATGATTGAATAAACATTGGAGTTAAATTATTTATTGGTGATAAGGAATTATTAATATTTGATTGAATTGATGATATTGTTTTATATGATAAAATACCTTTTAATTCAATATCATTCCATAATGAGGATTTTGTTGAAAAGTCATTGATGATAAATATCTAATAAATGGTTTTGATTTACTTATTTGTGTACAAGTTTTTAAAAAACAATTTGTATGATTTTAAAAAAGGAATACTCATCTAATGAATAAACATGTAATATCCAATTAAAATCATGATATTTATCCGAATGAGCATATAATACTAATAATTATTTAATATTAATTTACTAAAATAAATCCATTTATTTATTTATTTATCCATATAAAAGAAAAATCGTTTATTGAAATGATTGTTGAATTTGTTGTGAATTAAATTCATTTGAAATTAATCTGTTTTTTTCTCCAATAGTTAAGATATTTTCAATAGAATAATAAAATAATTTTAATGATAAATCAAAACGTGATTTACATGATCGAGATGAATTTTCTTTTCGATTTATTTTATTAACATTTTCTATTAAATCATATTGACTATTAAATAAATATTCACATTGATTTAAACGTTCAACAAGATCATCTAAATTTTTCATAAACAAATTTTCTTTTTTTCTTTTTATCAAATCGAACATTATTTCTCTAACTGACACGTTTTTAAATAATATATTATATTAATTAACTAAATAACTCTAATTTTCATATTTCAAATATGAAAATCTAACTAATTACTATTAAAAAATGTTCGATAAAATAAAATCGTATATATGTATATCGAATATTATTTTAAGTTAAGGAGATGTTCAAAATAAAAAACTTATCATAAATCAATTCGATTCGATTTAAAATATTTTGAAATGAAAATA